TGGTTCCTTCCCTGTCTGGCTTTAGTTGAGCTCCCGTTAGCTCAGGTAAACAGTTTCAGTGGGTGTCCCCATCATGGACTTGATTTCTTTGCTCATATTCTCACTCCTCCCACTCTTCAACTGGACTTTGGGAGCTCAGCCCAGTGCTCTGCAGCGGGTCTCTGTCCCTGTCTCCATCAGTAGCTGGATGAAGGTTCTATGGTGATATATACATATACATACATACACACACACAGACAGACAGACAGACAGATAGATGATATGATATAATCATCAATCTGACTACAGGGCAAGACCAGTTTGGGCACCCTCTTCACTATTGCTTAGGGTCTTAGCTGAGGTCATCCTTGTAGATTCCTGGGAATTTTTCTAGTTTCGGGTTTCTTGCTAGCTCCATAATGGCTCTCTCAATCAAAATATCTTTTTCCTTGCTCTCCATCTCTGTCGTTTCCCCATCTTGACTATTCCATTCCCTCAAGTTCTCCTCCCCACTTCCCTACTCCCATCCTCCTCCACTCCACCCTCCCTTCTCCCCTGACCCCCATGCTCCCATATTTCTCAGGAGATCTTGTCTATTTCCCCTTCCCAGGGCTATCTATACATGTTTCTCTTAGGGTTCATTCTGTTACTAAGTTTCTCTAGGGTCATGGACTATAAGCTAGTATTCCTTTGCTTTACAGCTAGTGTCCACTTATGAGTAAGTACATGTAATGTTAATCTTTCTGGGTCTGGGTTATCTCATTCAGGAGGTTTTTCTAGTTCCATCCATTGGTAGGCAAATTTCAAGATGTCTTTGTTTTTTAGTGCTGAGTAGTACTCAGTCGTGCTGGAGAGGATGTGGAGTAAGGAGAACACTCATCTATTGCTTGTGGGAATGCAAACTTGTACAACCACTCTGGAAATCAGTATGGCAGTATCTCAGAAAATTGGGAATCAACCTACCTCAGGACCCAGCAATACCACTCTTGGACATGTAGCCAAAGAATGCTCAATCATACTACAAGGACATTTATTCAACTATGTTCATAACAGCATTATTTGCAATAACCAGAACCCAGAAACAACCTAGATGCCCCTCAACCGAAGAATGACTAAAGAAAATGTGGTACATCTATGTATCTCTTAAACACATAGCTTGTCATCACTGGACACTGGGAAAAAATTACTTGTCATGATAAATCATTTTTAATTCAGGAAATGTTAAAAATATACAAAACTAGAGAAAATACAATAATAAATTCATAATTATCATTATGTAATATCAGCAATTATAAACTAAAACATTCCAGATCCTAGTTTACATGGCTAATTATTTCGTCTTCATTTTGATGTAAATTTATGACATCATTTATTTCATTCTTTATTGTATCAGTGTATAGGATATGAGGAATCTTTAAAAAATATAAACCTAAGATAATTATTTATAGACAACAAATTAACAGTTAATTCTTATGTCAGATATGTAGACAGTTTTCAAATTTCAATCATTTGTCTCAAGATTTGTACATTAGCTTTCTTTCAGTTACCCTAGAATGAACTCAACACATGGAAACTGATGGATGTGTCTAAGCCAAAGAGGCTATAATGTGAGCCACAGCCTTACTTAAAATGCAATAGGTACTTTAAATCATTTTAACTAGCATTTGTGTTTAACTCAATATATGCAGTATATTGTTTCAACACAGAATCTATATAAAATCTTTACGTTCGTTTTTGGAAGTTAGTGAGAAAACCTACCTGTCAAATATTATAGACTAACGTTTCTCACAAACCATGACGTGAGGGAACAAAGAAGTGTGGGCAGGAGATGAGCCTCCAAAGAGTCCAGCCTTTGTCTTCGTGAAACAGACTTTGCGTGTTTATAACTTATTGAGAAAAGCGATTTTTCACAACAGGAATGCACGATAAGAAAGTGAAGTGTAAGAGGGGAAATCTGAGAAAAAATAGATTGCGGACTATTTCTGCTACAGGCATCCAGCACTTAGTCTACTGGGGCATCTGGTCACCTACAGAACAAAGAGGAAAGCAAGAACACTCTGCTCTTCCACGCCACGTGGTCTCAGATGAAGGCTTCCCTTGGAGAATGTGAAGGTATGAATGAACAGCCAGTGATTTGACAGAATAAATTAGCCCAGGTGAGGAAGCTAAGGGCATCTGACCAGGGCAGAGAAAGCATTGGTAAGTTGTAAATCCTGACAGCTATGCTAATGGGGGGCAGCTACAGCTAGAGCATCATGGTAGGCCCCAGTATTATGGAGCAGAATGCCATAAATGCCGATTAGAATACATTTTCAACTTGAAAGTAAATAAACACTACATGAAAACCATTTCTACAGAGACATGACGGTCATGCAAGGACAGGGAGGACAAGAGACCTCGCAATGGACAGGGAGATAAAATATTTGACCTATTATTTCAATTAAGTTCATGCTTTTCCAGCCTTGGAATTGTTCGCGTGCAGTCAGCTATATCTGGAAGTCTAGCCAGAAACCGTCATGTTTGAATTTTCATGTGTTTATCCTTATTGCATTGTTTTGTTGTTCTGGAGTTAATCGAATTTTCAAAAAAAATGCACAATAACCCATCAGTTCCTAGAAATCACATGTACTGAATAAGCCTGCCCCCATTACATAAATTGAAATAATTTGTAAGATCATTTCATCAGACCTAGAAATAAACCTCAGAAGGTAATATGTCAAACAAATGTCCCTAAGTGATGTAAAACTTCTTGGAAGCCTTGACGAGAAATGAGCCTACAGCACAGACTTCTACCAGAGAACACATGTGGAACCGGGTACTTAGAGCTGGCACAGATCTGGACTGTTAGCCCACCCTCCACGAGAAAGTGCTCTCTTCTAAACAAGGACAACACTAGCTGCTTTATCTTGGAAATGGTTAAAGTTCGAGGATATCAGGCCCCTGCAAATACCTTTTACCAGTTTTGCCAAGTCTGTAGTATAAAATGTTTATGCTCCTATTATATGCCTCACGACTGCGCTAGAGCAGGCAAGTCCTGCAGCCTAAGACTGCGTCTTACCACAAAACCACCGAGACGGCTTTTAAAGCAATCATGTTAAGACTGGAGAGATGGCTCTGTTGGTCACATGCTTTCACGCAAGCCTGGGGACCAGAGTGTGGATCTCCGGGAAGCACTGGAGGAGAGAAAGGCAGACAGGAGGATCCCTGGGCTCACTGGACAGCCAGCCTACCGTAATCTGTAAGCTCTGGGTTCAGAAGAGACCCCGTTCCAAAAAACAAAGTGGAAAATGACTGAGGAAGTCACCCTTGTCCACCTCTGGTCTCTATATATGCGTGCCTACACACATGAATGGGCCTACACACATGCACATGCCTACACACATGCACACACTTACACACATGAACATGCACACGAACCTGTATATGCACATCCAATATAAACAAAAAAGTACTTGTTTATGGATACTGCACACATTATTGGATCTTCTTCTCTTGACATATCAAAGCCTGAATTTTCTTAGGCAACTGACGAAACACAACTTACCCTTCTGAAACCAAATTAATTAGTCCGGAAATCAGGACAGCTGCAATTTACAGTCCCAACTCTCCTCTCTACATCTTCCCTGAAGGAAACAGATAAATCTCACTGAAGGAGGAGCTGGGTATGCACCCACATAATAAAGGTTAACAGAACCCTACACCACTGTAGATGAAGGAAATAGAGTCTCGTGGGGTAGCAGAAGAGTGGTGTTGAACTGGAAGTTGGGAGTGAAGGAAACAGAGAAAAGGCCGGGTCACTGGGACACATAAAACATGGAGAGAGAGAGAGGGAGAGATGCCAAAACTCTGTGGGTTTTCCTTCAGTTACTTCACATGGAACTCTGGAGAAATTTCTCTTTTATTGTTCCGTTACTTAGCTGTTAACTGTTTGATGAATCTCTGTGGCAATTCTTCTCCACTAACACTTAAGGTCAAGAGAGTTTTGAAGGAAGACCAATTGCATTTGCTTAGATATGTATACATACACACACACACACACACAGAGAGAGAGAGAGAGAGAGAGAGAGAGACAGAGACAGAGACAGAGACAAAGACAGAGAGAGATGAAGAGATGAGAGGAGAGGATTTTAAAAATTTAAGTAACTGACTTAAATTTTTTTAAAAAATGCTACTTTCTTGACTTAGATCTGAACCACTTTTTTTGAGAGTAAGAACTATTGTAGTTAAATTTCCACTGCATTATTAGACACTTCTTCTTGTTTACCACGGATAAAATGAGTGTCAACCCTCCAGCAGGCCTGACTCTGTGAACAGAGTGTTGGAGATGATCAATGATCAGGCCTCATACTGCAGCTCAACAGCTGCCAGCAATGGCACAGGCGTATTCTCCAGAGCACCTGAGCAGGAACGTCTAGCAACACATTAATATTAATAATGGCATTCACAGCATTGCCAGCCACGGTCTCAGAGAGCTTAACATGCCGGCTGTTGCCAAGACACAGCTCCCACCAAGACAACCTCAGCTCTTTGCGTGGTTATATGCAGAGTAGATGAAAAGTGAAAAAAAATCCAGCTCTTGTTCAGATTCGTTGCCAGTACTTGGAAGTTTCTGGGCAACTGTCTGATTTCCTTCGCTTTCATCCCGAGGTTGGCCTTGTGTGGCCATATGCTGTAGGTATCTACACCCTCCCCAGCTTCCAGGACATTTTTATTTGACTGGAGGTGATAACGCAAATGGAATTGAGTCATGGCGTTTGATGAATCTCTCCCATTCCAGTAAAAATGGTTGGAGGGTGTTCAACACCTGAAATTAGGCAGAACTTCAAGTCACACATCTCCTCATTAAATTTATCACTCCAGAACCTGCATTTCCTTGACGCGGAAAGCCTTTTTAAATAAATACTCGAAGCTGGGAAGATGCCCAACCCATTAATCCTTGAACCATACAAAGAGTATCATTTTGTAAATGGAAATCGGGCCTTTAATATAAACTTGGCCATCATTCAATCACTAAGCCTTACTTTGCAGTATCCCATTTGATCCACAGAGTGGTTCTCTTCCCTTCCACTCATCCAGCTTGAGCCACAAATATGTTGCTTTTTGCTTTGCTCTCTGCAGATTTTCTTCTCTTGTCATGGTTCTGAGGCAGCCAGAGAAAGAGTATCCAAGCCTGGAAATGCAATATGAATCAGTCAGTAGCTTTAGACTCCAAAGGGATAAGAAAAGCAACAATCTCAAATACACCACTCATTCCACTTTGCTCTGCTTTTTTAAAAAAAAGAAAAAAAATTATCATTTGCCAATTTGCCACAAAACATTCTTGCTGGAGTCAGAGGAACAAATATCTTGTGGAGACAAGGAAGGGATAAGAAATTAAGTCGGATGAACAAGATGTGTCTCCGTGCATCTGTGCAGCCAGAATGCACCAGGATGGTACGATGCAAACATGTAGATATTGGTGTCTTGTATTTAAAATGTGTTTCCCTGCTTTCTACCAGATGAAATGTAGAGTATTTACTACCTGGTATTTACCTCTGCTATGAGTCAGACCAGCCTGAAGGTCAGAGGCCCAATCAGGAATGAAGGCTAGCCTCCCCAAGATGGCCTTGTGATCTGACATTAAGAAACTTCTGTATTGAGAATCTCAGTCTGTGCCAAAACCAAAAGCAGTGTTCCTAGGGGCTTCCCTCATACCCAACAGGAAACTGAAAACGTTAAACATATCATAACCCTAGATTGACACTAAAAATTGGTGGCAGGCTAAAGTGAGATCATTTTGAAAGAAACCTGGTCACGTTTTGAGTCAATTTCAAAGAAAAACTACAGTGTAAGAACCTGTGTATTTCTCCCCATGGTACTGTGAAACAGTTGTACAAAGGGTGTGTCCACCTAGTCTGTACGCAGAAAACTGGGCACAGTGTTGTACTGGTTCACCGGTTGGAGAGGTTAACCACTTCCTGCAATGCTCCAAAACATAGACTTACAGGTAAAGATTTGTTAGTATAGATTCATTGGCAAAGATGATACAGATGATCTCAGAAGGTGTTGCTCTTCTCAGTGTTCATATTTGCCCCAGACCTAAGGCCTAAGGCTCACTAGAAATGTGTCCTCCTGAGATGCACCCTCTAAGCCTCATAGCTCATTAACTTTCTCATAGAGCTGGGTAGAGATGAGTGGCTTTGACTCTGTTCAAACAGCCATACCAGAAAGCGGTGCTGACTTTCTCCTCTGTGCCAGTTTCCTTTCGGATGCTGTGATGATGCATGCGGACAGAAAGAAACATTAGGGCGAAAGGTAATGTTATCTGACATCTGGGCTACAGTCTAACTTTATGGGGAAGTCACCACGGCAGTGACCCGTATCACAGCTACCACCAAGAAGAGCAAGGAGAAATGAATGCTTGGGTGTCTACTTGCTTGCTTGTGCTCAGCCCAATTTCTCCAGTTTTATACAGTTCGGGACTTACTGTGTCAAGCACGGTAGGCTAGGTCTTCCCGCATCTATTAAGACAGTCGCTGATAGACATGCCTATGGGTCGGCACCATTTAGACAATAGCTCACTGAGACTCTTCCCAAGGGATGAGAGGTTGTGGGATGCTGAGAAGTAAAACTAACTATTCACCTCTTCCTTTAGTAGTAAAACCTGGATTTCTAGATTGTTAGATTTAGAAAATAAAAATACAAAATGGGTAAGTTAAATTTGACCCTTTAAAAAAAGGAATCGATTTGCAAACGTAAATAGGATGCCTACTTTGATTTGAATTTCTCAGAAGTCATGAAAATACATATAATTCTTAGGTCCTACATATTGGACTTTTATGAGAAAATATAGACCTGAAAGTCAAATTTAATCAATCACTTTCAATGTATCAATGCACACTCTTAGCAGCGTGTGTTTTCATTCAACTGGGACTACTAGGTACAAGGCGCAGGATATGACCATGGTACCAACTTCCACCACTGAAGGGAGAGTTTCTGCTGAGTGGTACCCCAGAAAGTGACCTTTAAGGAAGAAGACATGCTCTTCTTTCACACTGAGAAGATGTGCTGAACAGGGCAAGGCCAGCCCTGGGCCCCCTCTCAGCAGAGACACAAGATTCTGTTTCACTTAAACAACCAATTATTCTCTTCCAATCAACGGAGCCCATTTCTGACTCAAACAGAAGCTTACTTACATCCTTAGAGATTTGTGAGCGTACCAAAGTCTGGAAAACTGGAAACTCTGTGAAGAGTTGAGTACTTAATACGACTTGTGATGACTCTCAGATTGCACACACAAAGGCTCTCTGTCTTTTGGACTCACTCTTACACACACACAAGCACACTCTCCTTCTTTTCTAAGGCCTTGGGTCTCCCAGCTTCCTGGATGCTTCCTGCCAGTGTTTGAAAGTCAGCTCCAGCAATCCAGAAAAGAAAACAGTTATGACTAGAGGAACTGAAAATAAAGTGAAATTATTGAAATTATGAGTAGCAATTTCATTAAGAGGCTAAATGACCATGTCTCAGAAGTATATTTGTTGATATTTCTTGAATGTGCTGTCAGGTGGCATGAAGAGGAACAATAAATTAAAATAATATTTTCCAGCATCTTTGACTTTTGGAAAAGAAATATGAAAATTAATTTCTAATAACAATGAAATCTTCTATAAGAGAAAGATACCAAGACAGAATCCCTTGAAACTTTCCTGGGTGAGAATATTTTTATGCAAAATTTATTTCCCAAATGGGCAACATTGATTTTTTTTTTTCTTTCAGTTCTTGGGATTTGCCAACCTCAACATTTTTCTTGGTGCCGTAAAAGATGTTGCTACTGGCAGTTGTTCCCTGTAAGTCAGAAGGCAAAAAATAGTGTTAAATGGTAGAGTTATGAGAATAGTACTCTCGAAATACTTATTAATGTATTTTTCGGAATCTGATCAGAAGATTTTGATGTCATTGTTCATTGAGAGGAGTAGAAATATATGGAAAGTAAGCTAATCTTTTAAATGCATCTTTCAAATGCAAGAGCTAAAAGTTAATTAAGGCAAGGGCAGAATATTAAGAAAGATTATGTACTATTGGAGCCTTGGGGGTGGGGGTAATGGCTCAGCTGTTAAAGCCTAGACTTATAGCCAAATTATAATATTACAGACTACCCAGTTTGCTATGATTTTTAAGAAGAAAGGAGCCACCACTGATAGACTTCAGCAAAAATTAGAATTTTCATTGTAGTACAAGGCTATAGTGGGCTACCTAGTGTCCTCCAAGTTCAGGGCCACCTAGATCCCCAGTTTTTGATCTATTTGGGAAAATGTTCACTCTAGATGGAGCGAGTTAAGATCACAGTGATAGAGTGGATCTTCAATTCAATGTCTGGTGTCTTTGCAAGAAAAGAGGAAAGAGGACCCAGAGAAAGTGGATGAGATGTCGGGGTGCTGCTTCTAAACAATGAGACACCAAGTACAGCTGACAACCATACAACCTAGGAACACGGCATAGAGTAGTCTTCCTTGGAGTCTCCAACAGGAACTAATCCCACTATGCCTTGCTTTAGATGTCTAGCTTTGAGAACCAGCAGAGAATAGCTCTGTGATACTGAGAAACTCAGTTTGTGGTGCTTTATTATAGCAGGAATAGAAAAACTCATCATTTGGTGTTCTTGTCTCTGAAAGCAAACATTTGCAAATGATACCATGTATTAGAGGATGCTTGGACAAGCCCAGTTCTTATTTTTCAATACCCCTGGACCCTGACCCATGGGATGCTATTGACAAGCATTATTTTTGGCAAAATTTGTTTATTTGAAGGCCTTTCATTTGGCCTGCCAAGTTTGGAAGATTGCTAAATTATATCTTATTGAGGGTTTAATTGTTTATATTTGTATTTTCTGGCTTCATTGTCTTTTATCTAAAAGAAAAGCAAGCAAAGACAAAGGAAATTAAATAAGGAAAAAATGTATTGGATTTCAAGGTCTCCAGGCCTCTTCAAACACAATCGAACAATCAGTGTGCCATGTTTTCTAAGCATGAGGAGGGTTATGAATGGCCTACCATCCCCCATCCAAGTGCTTTTCCTGTTACTTCCTCCTTGCTTTGACAATTCATTAAATGCCAAACAAGACAAAATTGCTTCCCTGAGCACAGCTAGAGAGAGTGTGTCCGTGATAAATCCCGGAGGGTCTCTGCAAATTGTTAGTCCATCTTTTTCCTATCAGCACTCATGGGGAAAGCTACCAGTTACTCAACAAATATAGTAGGACAGCAGGACACAGGAGATGTATTTGCCAACAACAGATGGTTTTAGGTTTTTTTCATGTATGAAAACCAGTATCTTGAAGCTGGAGAGTTGGCTCAGGGGTTAAGGGCATTGTTACTCTTACTAAGGACCCAGGTTTGATTCCCAGCACTCACATGGAAGCTCACCATCATCTGTAACTCTGCTTCCAGGGGAACCAATGGCTTCTTCTAGCTCTGTGAGCATCAGACATGCTTGTAGTACACATGCATTCATGTAGGTGAAACATTTTTACATATAAAATATAAAAACATCTTAAAAAATTAAAGCAAACCAATATTTGAGGGAAGACCTAAAAATCACACATTTCTCTGTGATGACTTTGAATGTCCACATAAACAGAGAGCACCTATGCAGTAAAATCAGGATCTTATGGCTGACCCTCACAAGAAGCGCTATCAAGGCCTCTAAAATACAATGGCTGATGCAATAGAAAATGAACGCCATCAAGACCTCATTAACCTCAACTTCAGTGCAAGAGATGGCAGAGGGGCCAAGAGCAGACTGAGGACTTCAGGACAGGAATAAAGCAGGTGTTTTTACATCCTACCACCACCGCTGGCAACCAACAGTGAAGCTCTGCGCTGTGTGCTGACCCCCATCACAGCGCTCACATACCATCATCACACCTTTAAAGTGCCTTTGAGTGTTGCCATCAGAACAGGCATGAGCCTGAGCAAGTCTCAGGGTCTACTCACGAACCTGCAGGAAGTCCAGAAGAGAAACCTGTTCACAGAATCACACAGACAATCCACAAACTTACGAGGGTGGAGAACTTTATGTGTCGAACCCCTGAGTTCCTCAAAGGAAAACATGAAGGTAAAGAAAACAGATAATAGCACGGTGTACAGATTTTAAAATGCACTTTTAAAAAGACAGTGTCAACATTTTTTAACA